AAACATATCAGTTTTTAAGTAACCTTCATACACACAAAGCTTTGGGTGTTCGAAATATACTTACAAACGCGAAAAAATTATATTTCAACACTCAAATATATATCATAATATTATTTCACATTCGCTCAGTTCCACCTAAAAATCACATATCCATCTGCACGAGAGCCTTTTCTGAGAGTTGAGAATAACAGCTTTATTTGCTTTGCGTGCTTTGCTTTACGAAAATCTGAGGTATCTGCGCAAAATGGGCGCGCTGAGTTCTATTGTGGGTCTTCATGGTCCGTAGATGTTGCGAACGGACCGCAGGCCGAAGGATGTTTTTTTTTTATGATTGCAAGATTACTGGTGGCCCGGAGGCTTTTCCAGCTTCACCAGAACAGGTGGGCGAGCAAAGGCTCAGCCAGGAGGGGTGGGATTTGCTAACAACTGCCCGAGCGCCTCCGAAAGAGACCTAACAACTCAAGAGCATTTGCTTCGCGAATGAATCTACCACCGAATCGGAATCGCGACCCGGTGAGAAGATCCGGCGAGAAACTCAGCTGACTGATGCATGGGTTAGGTTGCGCGTCGACCTCATTGTCGAGTTCGACGAGTACGGTTACCGCGGTCCCTGTACAAGGATGTTTATAGGGCCCTACCCATCAAAATACTCCCCTTACACTATCACACTCGACGCTAGATCTCCGCCCGGGGTCAGAACCCGGGCAGAGTAAGGGGGTTCTCGTGGTCAACACTAGAACCAGACTCGCGACGCCACCCCTAGGACACCTGACAACGGGTCGTCGAGGCAATCATCAATGACTAATGATACCGGTCTCCGCGGTACGGCGGGCGTTCAGGCCACCCGGGCGATGCCGCTGACGCTTCGGAAACTCTGCAGGATCAGAACCAGCATGCCGGGTCGGAAAGCGATACACCGGTGACCGGAAACCAAACCAAACATTTTTTTTTTCTTTTGAACGAGCTCACTGCCCTCAACCTTAAGTGGGTACCGAAGTCCATACACATCAATCTCAACGTGAATGCCACCTAGTTTAAGACTAAATGTTATCTGAATTATAGTGTAATAACGCAAATTCATAGTCAGAAGCAGTCGTGGCCTAATGGATAAGACGTCCGGTGCATTTATTTCTAGCGATGCAAACGATGTTCGAATCCTCCAAGCGGGTATCAATTTTTCTAATGAAATACGTACTTAACAAACATTCACGATTGACTTCCACGGTGAAGGAATAACATCGTGTAATAAAAATCAAACCCACAAAATTATAATTTGCGTAATTACTGATGGTAGGACGTCTCGTGAGTCCGCACGAGTAGGTACCAACCGCCCTGTCTATTTCTGCCGTGAAGCAGTAATACGTTTCGGTTTGAAGGGTGGGACAGCCGTTGTACTATAAAAACTGAGATCTTAGAACTTATATCCTTTTTTTATTGCTTTGATCGGTGGACGAGCTCACGGCCTAACTGGTGATGGTTACCTCAGCCCATAGACAATACAACGTAAATGCCGCCATCCACCTTGTGACACAGGTAAATATTGTGAGATTGATTTTGTTACCCGATGTTATTCTTTCTTCGTAGATATCATTAGTGAGCATGTGTCAAGTACGTAATTCATTAGAAAAATCGTTACCTTTCTGCGGGATTTGGACACCGTCGCTTGGTACGAGTAAGCGGTTTGTCTTATCCTTTAGAAATACTTATGTTTAAAAAAATTATTTCAATAATTGTTATTAATGTATACAACTCTTACGCCGACTGTACAAGCTCATCTCGTTGTGTCGTGTGCTTCTCGTCCGCTTTCGTCGCGTAGAGGCTCGACACAAATCCACACCTTGTACACACTCGTATCAAATGAACTTCGGATGCCCGTTGTGATGGACCTAAAAGAAACTGACACAGTTGGCGACAGCTAAACGAACGAATCTGTACAGGCGCAATCTCATTTTCATCGCGAGACTCCCCAAGACCATTTGTCTCGAGCGCAAAAAACCGACACGCTTCCGAATGCGAACGAGAGCCACGAGACGAGACATGGATGCTATGTACACACTCGTCCGCGGCCTGTCTCGTGTGTCTTGACGAGCGTGTACAGCCGGCATTTCAGATTCATAACAAGGACTTGGTAAAGAGGACTTAGAGAGTCGTCGTGGCCTAAAGGATAAGGCGTCCGGTGCATTCGTATGTAGCGATGCACCGGTGTTCGAATCCCGCAGGCGGGTACCAATTTTTCTGATGAAATACGTACTCAACAAATGTTCACGATTGACTTCCACGGTGAAGGAATAACATCGTGTAATAAAAAACAAACCCGCAAAATTATAATTTGCGTAATCACTGGTGGTAGGACCTCTTGTGAGTCCGCGCGGGTGGGTACCACCACCCCGCCTATTTCCGCCGTGAAGCAGTAATGCGTTTCGGTTCGAAGGGTGGGGTAGCTGTTGTAACTACCTAGTCAGGTCATAAATTCTGTCACATGTTTAATGTAAAATAATTGAAACAAGTTTATTCATTATGTAACCATTCATATACCAAAATGAACTTAACAAAACATAGATTCTTATGACACTAAAGTTTATTCAAAATGACCTCCGTGATTTTGAATACAGGCCTTTAATCTGCGCGGCCAGTCGTCTATCGCAGCACGAACGAGGTCCATGTCAATATCGGCGGCTGCCTTAATCAAGGATGTCTTGAGTGACTCCAAATTGGGATGAGGCTTTGAGCACGCCTTTTCCTCCAAGTGTTGCCATATCTTGTAATCTAACGGATTCAAATCTGGACTGGAGGAGGGCCAGTCTTCGTGCCGGATGAAGTCGATTTCACGCGCCGCCAGCCAGTCTTGTGTGCTCTTCGCTCTATGAGCTGGCGCCGAATCTTGTTGGAATACCCAGTGCCTGTTATTGAACATGGTATGAGAAACAGGTTCCACAAGGTTCGTCAGGACTGTATTTTGATACACAACTGCATTCGTTTTTACACCTTTCTCACAAAAATGTACCTCTGTTAAGCCCCAATAAGAAACTCCCAACCATACCATGAGCGAGGATGGAAAATGACCTCGTTGGACACGCGGAATACGGTTGCTCGCTTCTTCACTACTGTGTGCGTACACCTTATCATTTTGTTTGTTGTAGCTCTCTTCTACGGTAAAAATTTTTTCATCCGAAAAAAGAATTTCCCGATATTTTTTTCCCGCGTACCGCTTCAACAAAGCGCGGCATCTCTTCAGTCTCAGGTCCATTAGACGAGCATTCAAACGATGTCCTGTTTTTCTTCGATATGCCCGAAGCCCTAAGTCTTCATTTAACATCCTTTTCACCGTGGTTCTGCTTAACCCCATCTGAAGGGCCAACAGTTTCTGCTTACGTTTGGGATTTCTTTGAATTCGCGCCTTCACAGCTTTTATCACTGCTGGATTGCCTAACAGACCGAGGGTGACCACTTCTTGACCTGTCATCTACACTAGAGTCTTCATTGTATCGTTTGATGGTACGATAAACGGATCTTTTGGTTATATTCAAATTTTTCAGTATGTTAAAAATTTGAATTGGCGCGTAACAGCAACGATGCAACGCAATAACTGCAACACGGTCTTCTTTAAGCGTCCACTCCATATTTAAAAATGAGTAAAATTCTAAAACTATACATTTTTATTTTCATGAACAATTCGAAATTCGAATTCAATAAACTTTTTTGTGGCCAGCATTCTAAAAGAAAAGTTTTTACTGTGTGACAATACTTATGACCTGACTAGGTATACTGAGACCTTAGAACTTATATTTCGAGGTGAGTGGCGCATTTACGTTGTAGATGTCTATGGGCTCCAGTAACCACTTTAACACCAGGTGGGCTGTGAGCTCGTCCACCCAAATAAGCAATAAAAAAATAATAAAAAAAAGCTGTCTCGACTGAACTCATGGCTACTAAACTCCCGATCCATTAACGGTGCTTTTAAATACCACAAGAGCTCGACGAGTTAATTAACGCATAGACACAGCCCACTGAGTTTTTCGCCGGATCTTCTCAGTGGGTCGCGTTTCCGATCCGGTGGTAGATTCTGCGAAGCACTGCTCTTGCTAGGGCCTGTGTTAGCAACACTCCCGGTTTGAGTCCCGTGAGCTCACCCACACGTCAAGGAGACGCTGAAATAGCCTCTCAAGGCTATCAGCACAGGTAGGAAAAAGTTAAGACTACTAAATTGTTAATTTTTTGAAGTAAAAACTTCTTTAGAATCGTTGTGATTTCAAACCGGATGCAACGGAAAAAACGACAGGTAAGAGACACAAATACAAAAATGTGTAGGATGCAGCCAGCAAAGAATGAGACAGAAATATACATACTATTTAATACAGCGCCATCTGTGAGATTTTTTAATACTAACGTGTGTATGAAAGCTCTTGTAGTAAATTTTAATTTAGGATTATACGTGAAATTAAAATATCAATTCACAGAGGGCGCTACCTTACAATTATTTACTAATGACAAAATTTTACATATTAAGTATATAAGTAAGTATGTAAGACGTTTAGGATAATTGTATTTTAATTTTGGAAGGTTTCACTTCTACCACGTGTGAATTGCACACATGTTTTTTTTTATTTTCCCGCTTTCTATATCCTATATATCTTTTGTCTGTCTTTAGTCAAATGTTTGCCATATAACATATTTTTGACGGCTCAACCTTAGAGATTATGCCCGCCACACAACGCATGAAACAATTAAGTCTATAATCTATGGCATGAAAGTCCGTGCCCTAACAAGCAAGACGCTCAGTTTACTCGTAGTTACGTCATTATGTTGTGTTTCAATTCTTTCTGTCTCTCTGTCTCTTTCTTCAATTCTCAAGTCTGTCTTTCCAGGATGGCGGAGATTTCTTATTTTAGTAAATTAAGTTAGTAAAGTGCATACATACTTTACCGTTAGGGATCATATGTATGTCCGTTTTCCATATATACCTATTATATAATAAAAAAAAACACTTAATGAAACAAAAACTATCTCAAAACTGCTTTAATTCTTTCTAAAGACCGATCCTTTCCTAATAATTCCATCATTTCTGCTACGCCGGGTCCCTCTTTGAGGCCACTCAACACTGCTCTAAGACTCTTCATTAATAATGGAAATTTAACACCGTTGTCCTCGGCGAATGCCTTCAAAAACCCCTTCAAAGAATCCTCATCGAAGGACCTTATTTTTACTAATTCATCAACCAACTTCCGAAGCAAAGCTTCATCCATGTCTACACTACTCGACGGTAGAATCCATAGGAAGCCGTACTTCGGTGTCAATAAATCTTCTATCCTTGTCACTCTCGAAGTGGCCCAGGTTAGGACGCTCGCGATGTTCTCCTCAGACAAATCCGTTTGATGATCAGGGTAGGTCTTCTTTACCAATTGTTTTAGTTTGTCTACTAATTGTCCTGACAAATTCGGCTGTTTTAAATAACGTTTCATATCTAATCTGTTACATTCTTCTAAAAGATCAGGGTTTAGACGACTCGGGTGTGAAGAAATCTTGTCAATTTTAAACTGAAAAAAAATTATACGGACCAATTAATATTTAATTATATTTGCAGATACTAAGCATGAAGTTTGCCTTATAAAAAATAACATTTATATAATACATTGGGAAAGCAAAGGGACATCATGTTTATCTAGAATTTTCCTAATAATCTAACTTCAAACATAAAAAATTTAGTCATCTTATGTATTAAGTTATTTTCTTTCATTTTACTATTGACATTTTGAAAAAAAAAATACCCAGAAGGAAATGATAATGGTATTTTTTATTTACACAAACTGACACGCATTGTGATACGAAGGTATCAATATACTTATTATGATCAGAATTTTTAAATTATTATTTGATTGATTATGGCACCTCTTGGGTCAGTTCATCCATTGTCCTCAAACGAATTCCAGCGCCTGACACGTGATCAAAACCACCACCTGACAGGGTTATGTAATTCACCAACGCCAATGGCAATATACCTGATAGAAAAAGTACAGTTTTTAGTATACAAATATAATTCTACTAAGGGAAATTGAAAATAAATGATTATGTTTATCCAGTAAACTAGCTGAACTATACCTTTATTCCTGTAATCCTCAACTTTGACGTCGCTCTGTCGTTTACTTAACTTCGTGCCGTCCGAGTTGACTATCAACGGTAAGTGACCAAACAATGGCGGAGTCCAGCCGAAGCCTCTGAAATGTGACATTGTCTGTAAGTCTGAAGATCTCACACATCAATAGGGCCATTTAAATCAGTAGTAACAGGCAGCAGGATACAATCCCAAATCCATCTTGCTCGCAGCCATATATCTGCCACAGCTCACAGATTGTAGAGTGAATTATGGTCCACTATCCTGTATAATTCTGTCACAAAGCAGTCATGCATTCATGTCTGAAGAGTCAGAGTTTTATACAACACAATTCAGAATTCAACCTCATATAGGGTGACCTCATATGTAGGGTGACATTCACTTTTTTACCTTCCTTATAGGTAGATGACTAACCTGATAATTTAATGAAACCAATGAGATCAGTAATGATAGGGGCACAGTCAAGCCGCTGCCTATCATACTGATGCCTGTGCACTCTAGAAATGCTCAATAACACCCAAAACACTATGGTTTGCTCAAATATTCAATCTATACACAGCTATCATTATATATGAAACTCTTCTTAAAATCCTTATTTCTATACTTCCAGTTCTACTATAAACTAATAATTGAACTTTTTATTCTTGCAACTCTTATCACTCAATGGAATAACTAAATAGACAAAAAAAAATCAACAGTATACTATAAAAATAATCTCAATAATAAAGTCAGGTGTTTAAATAAATTATTAAAAAACAAAATGTACATTCGCACAATTCGGCTTGAAACAAACCTGTAAATCAACAAATGTTTGGTAGTAGATATTTGCCACTCAACACCCCTCAGAACATGTGTTATCTTCATCATGTGGTCATCAACTACATTTGCAAAATGATACGTAGGAAAGCCATCACTCTTCATAAGCACAGGATCTCCTTCATTTAGGGAAACATCGTAAGCTATTCCTCCATAGATTAAATCTTCAAAAGATTGGCAGTCTGATGTTAACTGGAAAATACATATAACTTGATTTTTTATAGCTGAAAATGGACCGTTTCTTTTGCTGCAGATTAATGACAACAAATTTTGTGGTTACTGAAACCCATATTTAAATTGGAATGCACAGAACACAACAGATTAGTTGTACCTAGTGATCTTCTTATCAGCCCACAGACATCCAATGCTGGATATAGGCCTCCCTCAAGCCTCGCCACAAAGACCGGTCCTGCACTGCCTGCATCCAACAGATCCCCATGAACCTCAATAGACCGCTGGTCCATCTTGTGGGAGGCCTACCCACTATATGTGATGTGATAAACATTACTAATTGGCTAACACAAAATGTAATATACAGTCTCTAGTCTCTCAGTCTAAGTTAGGACTTAATTGAGCTTGAAATAAAGATACAACTTTGTATTGATACATGCTTTTTTAATGCTAGAGAACCCACCATTTCAATGAAAATGCATTTCTTACTTTAAACCTGATACAATAGGGAGTCCCGGCTTTCATTTTTTCCGAAATCTCTGTATGTGACAGATTTCTACATCTATTATCATATTTTGGTATCCGTTGTGATCTGATAGCATCTCTGCGTAGTATATTCAATCTTCTCTCAGTACAAAAACATTTGTAAGCTGAACCATTTTCTAAAAGTAATTTTATGTGTTCTCTGAAAATAACCTTTTTTATTTACTTTTAAAAGTAAAAACTGAAAAAACTTCTCTATTAAAATATTCTATCGCCTCTACAGTACATTTAATAGTACTAATTTAGTAACTTGAAAAACTGCCCTAAAGCTCTGTGTGAATGTTTTTTGTTTTTCATAAAGTACATTTCAAATTCGTTGAAATACAAATTAAATGTTAATTCCATACCTACAAAGTAAACTTTGTTACATCATCTACTTGTGTGTAATTGTGTGTTATTATATTTGTTTTTTTTTTGCTACAACGCTACTTCAACTTACTGGTAAATATTTAATCTCTCACTCTGTACGTACGGACCGTAGGTACCAGTACCCGGGCCTTCATTGCACACGATTCCGGCCCATTCCAGGTCGCTCACAAGGGCCTCTAGAGCTCCTTCAACTTTCCGCGTTTGATCCGTATCTTCAATTCTAAGTATGAACGCGCCATTATGAGATTTTGCGAATAAATAATTATATAAAGCCGTTCTAAGGCCTCCTAAATGTAAATAGCCTGTTGGACTGGGAGCAAATCGTACTCTGACTGTTTCAAAAGTATGTGTTTTACGAAGCTGATTGATTTTAAATAGACTGAAAAGAGTTAATCTAAATGAACGGTTTATTATCATAATTTAGAATCGCTATTAACCAGTGATACAAGCGTGTTCAAGGAATCACCGAAGGTTATGTCAAGGTTCGAGTTTGTTTATTATTTTAGTTTAATCTTTAAGGTTATGTTTTTCAGTTTCATTTTTTTTAATGGCAATCTGTAGATTAACAATGGTTTAGATTTATGCATTTTATGTGAGGTCAGATTTGATAGTTATTGGGCTTTGACTTTTATCAAGTTTTCGTCTTTAGAGCGAATGAAACAAAAAAATCGACCTATTTCAATAATTTTCTACTAACGCTTAAGGAATCTTCACACTTTTGAAAATCCATCTATTTTCTATTAGCTGTGAAAGAAATGAACATGCCGATTATGATTTCTACTTTTTTTTTTCAAAATATCGGTGTTGTCAAATCAAGTTTTCGATTTCGATAGTGTTATAGTTTCGATGTTTCTCGTTCCATAAACTGTTTTTCGAAAATTCGTACCCTCCTGCACTGTCTAGTGTCTACTGTCTATGTGATTGTTATTTCACTAAAGTTCAGATGTCGAAATAGCAGAGAAAGTGATTAGAAATTACGAAAATCCAGTAAAAATGGTGAGTTTTGGTGATAAAACGATTAAAAGTGTTCACATAATTTCCATTTGTTGTCAAATTAATTTCAATTAGTTCCTACAAGTCGTGAATTTAAATGACAGTGCTGCAAAGGTTATGATATGACGTTTGTTTCCAGAATAAATTAAAATCGTCACAGAGGGACAAAGTGAAGAAGTTCGTCGCTTTCACGCAGACGAGCGAAAGCACAGCTATATATTGTCTCTCACAAAACGATTGGAAATTAGATCTGGCCAGCGACAATTACTTCCAAAACCCCGATGCGTACTACAAAGATTCCATAAAAACCTCAGTGGATAGAAAAAAGCTTGAACAACTCTTCAACAAATACAGAGACCAACAAGAACTGGATAAAATTACGGCAGATGGGGTCATGAAATTCTTAGAAGACCTAAACTTAAGTCCAGAGTCAATTTTAGTTTTAATTATAGCGTGGAAATGCAAAGCAGCTGTACAATGTGAATTCACTAAAGATGAGTTTATTATGGGCATGGTTGAGTTGGCTGTTGACGGATTAGACAAATTAAAAGCTAAATTACCAACATTAGAATCAGAATTAAAAGATTTAAATAAATTTAAGGATTTTTACCACTTCACATTCAACTATGCTAAGAATGCTGGTCAGAAAGGTCTAGATCTAGACATGGCGATAGTTTATTGGAATATTGTATTGCGTGGAAGGTTTAAGTTCTTAGATGCTTGGTGCAAGTTTCTCACAGTAAGTATTGATAATATTAACCAAATTCATTTGATTCCTCGTTCAAAAGTAATTCTTATTAATATTTCCATAGTACTCTTTGTAAGGATGGCCCTTGTTAATATGGTATGTAATAATAAAAGTATTTATAATATTATACCTGACTGAATTGAAGAAAATATTTCTTTTTTCAGTAATGAGAGATATATATGGTTAGTGTGGATTGATACAAATGTATCTTGATCACAAGACTGATCAAAAATTCCCTACTTGAACATTTTCATGTACTTTGAATTTAATATGTTCTAGTTATTTATGCCACAAAATTTAAGATAAAAACTTTTTTGAATAAACTATCCTAAAATTACAGTCTACACTCATAAGGCAAACAAGCCACATTATGCCCTAAACTTAATTTCCTAAAAGTCTTCACTAAAAAATACAGTAAAATTTATCACTTTCATGGTTTCCATTAATGATTTGCGATTAGAGTAATATGTGATATAATTGTTTGAAAATAGATACACAGTGTCAAACGTGGATAGGTCATTCATACTGACGCTGGATAATATCTTTGATAGTCTGTTATCCTTTAAACTGTCATTTCTTGAGATTATTTTTCCACTAAATTATCAATTGCTATACTCGACATATTTCTGATGAAAAACAAGTTGAGGAATAAATTATTACAATTACTGGAATATGAAACAATTCAAGCTCAAATTTTTACCTTGTAATATTTCAGGAGCACCACAAAAGATCTATACCAAAAGACACATGGAATCTTTTACTAGACTTTGCAACACAAATCGACGATGGCATGAGCAACTATGATGCTGAAGGTGCTTGGCCCGTATTGATTGATGACTTCGTAGAGTGGTGCCAGAAGCAGGAATTGACCTTGGATGGGGTCAAAGCTTTAGAGCCGGTGTCTGGCTAGCTGATGGCCTTTGGCTCACCGCCACTTGAAGTGACAGCTCCGAACATTGAACAAGACTATAGTTCTACGGACTGCCCATCATCAACACTGACAATGTCCCGCTGTTTTGTGTACACCATTGGGCTATATACCGTACAGTGGCTAGTGATGTTCTTCATTATAGAACTGTGTAGTTGATTTAATCGTGAAGTGCACATAAACTTGTTGAGGTTTATTAGATGTTGGTTAAGACATAGTGTCCTTAATGTTGCACAATGTGATTGATCCTTATTAACTTATGTCAAGCATCATACAGACCTCTTAAAGGGTTTAAAAATGGAAGGAAGGTGTAATGCAAACTTTATGTGCTAATGAAACTTTCATTAACCATCTATAATTAATAGATAAAATTAATTCTATTTTGAACAATTTTGTGTTTAGTGTAAATATGAAATTCTTTGTTTATTACTGTTAAAAACAATTGTATGCATATAACACAATACTTTCACACGGATAATAAATTTTATTAATGTCAATCTAATCAAATAAATCATATATTTAAGTGTCAAACTAATACTTTCTCACAGATCATTTTTGTCTCTTAGCTTTTGTCTACCTTCATTTAGAGTCACCCTTAGTTCTCCACAACATTTTTTGCACACTATCGGACAATGAGGCTTGAGATACTCTGCATTGCCATGCATGTTACCACAAAATATCAATCACTTTGCAACATTTTAATGATTACCTACCTAATTAATTATTTGTTGTATCGGGCACCTTCAATTGTAAAAAGCTACGAATTTTCATCTGTTAGACATTATTCAGATTTTATTAATATTTTACCTATTATGGTATAATCCCTGAAATTTGTAAATAATAAAAAAAAATATTCTGAAAAATAAAAATATTGTTCTTAAAATTGTTGAACATGAGTGATCTGCAAACTGTATTGCCAGCACTATAACGTAGTTGAGTTAAAAATATTGTAAATATGTATAAATTTTTATTGATATTATATTTTTATATATTTAAATTTCATTTTGCGGTTTGATTTATTTCATTTATCGGGGCTAACTTTAGGTATTTGAAACAAAAAAAAATCCCAAGTAAAAAGCAGGTTACATACGGGAACAACCGATTTAAAATTCGTTATAAAACTTAACGAAAAAAAAAAACAACAAAATCAAGAATATAATATATGTATTACTTTTTTTTGCGTTACACTAATTTTAAGTTATTGTCTTCGGAGCTACGAGATCGGAGGTTTGATTTGATGTAAATTAATCTTACTCATTAAATTGAACTTACAATCTTTTGGTTCTGTGTTGTTTTTCAATTTGTATAATACGTTAGAAGAGTGCTGTTGCTTGCTAGTAAATATTAACTCGTAATGCGTTTGGTACTTAGTTAATTGTACAAATATATTAAATTTTAAATTGACGTAATCGAGTAATAATTACATACATTAAACTGTTAAATCGTGTGTTTTTTTAAAATAAGGATTATTATAGGTAAACGATGCAATATAGAATACGTAAATTGTATTTTTTGTCAAACAGTCCTTAGTCTCTGTAAAGTCCTCCTTAGAGCTCTAGAAGGCCCGTTTACTTAATATTTATCTTTAACCTTTATCGGGCTGTTATAGTTTAGGCTGGCACTCCGGAAATACCGGTTAGTCTCGCGCGAATTTTATTATAATTTTGTATTAAATTAGATCGCGGAAGTGGCATTGGATTGGCCACATATTGAGAACGCCCGATACCCACCTATCAAAGAGAGCACTGACCTGGAAAGTGTCTGGAAAAAGGAAGAGAGGCCGCCCCAGAACAACTTGGCGACGCTCGGTGGAGCAGGAGCTAGGTGTCTTGGGCATGACGTGGGAGAAATTAGAACAGACTGCCCAAGACCGATGTAAATGGAAAAAATTGATTCGAGCCCTACACCCCAGCAGAGGGTAATAGAAAATAATGATGATGATGATGATGTATTAAATTATAATAAAAGTACCTATGTGGAGAGGTGAGTTTATGGAGTCTCTCTGGACAAAAACCGTCATTACTTAATGCGATATATATGATATCGATCGATAAGCGTTTGCAACATAAAAGTCGATAATAGGTTAATAGTCGATAGTGTTAGGAACTAGCCCGCACACAAGTTTAACGATGGACAGGGAGGCTTGGCCCTCTGACTCTTCAAACATCTCGATCCCTGTGGGTCTTGACAGTATCAGATCAGTGAAGAGGCAATTAAGCTGCTTTAGCAAAAAAAATGGAAGATTTTAATGATGTGTGGTCACCGTGATGTTATGATAAATGCAATAGGTAGGTATGTACACCATTTATTGAAACTAATTGCGCGCCATCTTTCACACGTTGATGGAACTACGCCATAAAGCTTCTCTGAAGTGCCAAGATTTAAATTTTGCAATGGTGCTGCACATAAAACAAACAAAAAAACCTAGGCAGAAATATAACATTATTATGTAAAAATTAATTTTCGATTCAGGTTAAGAGCTCCTTCATTTACATTTAAAAAAAACATTTACTACTACATTTTAAAAAAAAAGAGGTATTTTCAAGTGGTTCAGCCGTCTTTCACGACTTCCGGTATTGATAATGAATTTAAAATTCAAATTTACTCTCTAGTTTCTACAAAGGTATTTAAAAAATTATGAGATAATATGAAGTACGAAGATGATAGCTGGTGGTAGGACCTCTTGTGAGTCCGTGCGGTCCGAGACCACCACTCTGCCTATTTCTGCCGTGAAGCAGTAATGCGTTTCGGTTTGAAGGTCGGGGCAGCCGTTGTAACTATACTGAGACCTTAGAACTTTTGTCTCAAGATGGGTGGCGCGTTTACGTCGTAAATGTCTATGGGCTTCAGTAACCACTTAACACCAGGTGGGCTGTGAGCTCGTCCACCCATCTAAGCAATAAAAAAGATGCAGGTAATTTTGAGTTATCGGAAAGTTAAATTAATTAAAATTAAATTATAACAATCCTTCTTTTTAATGCATCTAGTTTGTCAATTACACTGATCGAATGAACATATTTTGGGTTATAACAACAAAGTAGTCTAAAAACATAACATAGAGCAGCGGTCGGGGAACTTTTTTAATTATTCCCCCAAAATAATTTTGTGTATGATAATTTGGTCTATGATATTACCCCATGGCGAAGAACAAAAAAAAAACGAAATCGCTTCTTTTTAGCATCTTTCATATTATAGCCTCCATGATAATTATGAAAAAAAAAATAGATTTTTTTCGTTTCATTTCATTTCGTTTCCATCGAGTTTGCAATCACGATTCTAAAGAAGTTTCACTTCAATATATACTTTTTACTCACAAAAAAATCATTTTTACTTCGAGACTTCGTGTCCTAGGGTGGGTGGTGGCATTTACGTTGTTGATTAGGGATTCATAGATACCTATTTAATTAGAGATTTATTCGCTGGTAGCCTAAGGTGCGAACCAGTGGTAGAATGTGGAAAGCACTGTTCTTGTTAGTGTTAGCAATTCTCTCGGGCTAAGCCTGTAAGCTCACCTACCGGAGCAGTTGAAATAGCCCCTTAGGATACCAACGAAAACGAAACAAAATTGTAGATCATGGTGTTCGGGTTATTTTTTATTTACTAACCCGGTGAAGGAGCTTACGATCAACCTAGTATTAAGTGGTTACCTGAAGATATGAGAACTAAGTCTAGATTTTATTGTATAATGCTGTCCTACTCTTTAAAAGCCGAGACGTATTACTGCTTCGCATTGATTTTAATTCATATCGGTTCTTCTAAAAAGTCCATCGAAATTTTAATGAATTCTCTCCATTTTTCTGAAATATTTCATTGTATCTCATCTCAGTTTTTTTAATTAACTCCCCATTATCAATTTCAGAAAGCTTGCTTAATTTTTACGCTCCGTTTTATTTTTGTGTAGCAATTATGGATTCAGCATTTTATAATAAATAAAAAACAAATGGTTGTGTGTTAAGATGCGGTATGAAAAATATTAAGTGTATAATCTATGGTATGATACCTTTGCGCCTTTGCCGTTCTGGCAATTAAAAAACATTCAAGAAAAAACTCCAAGTGTCGAAAACCTCAACCAACTAATAAATACAATAATAGTAAAACTATTGAGACCTGAAATTCAAAAATTTTAAAGAATTCATAGTTTGTGAAAATGGCACTCCGCCTGGGAGGAGCACTGAAAGAACTGCGTATACATTTATGTCAAACCAGCAAACAGTCTGAGGGAGTGAGGTGATTAACTTGATTACATAAACTGTAAAATAATCTGCAAATGCCAAATTTTTTTCCCTTTTTCCAGGGAATTTATCAAAAACAACTATGTCAATATTAAGAAGGAAAACCCCAATTTTCCTATATTAATTAGAGAATGCAGCGGTATTCAACCTAGAGTGTGGGCGCGTTATGGTAAGTTACACGCAAGAGATTATTTTATACCGATTAAAGTTAAAGTTCATCTAATTAAAATTAATTTAATTTACCCCTTTTTCTCTACCTATTCGCTAGTAGCCCAAGGGGCTATTCCAGCTATACGAGGAGAGGTAATACCCTGTAAACGTTATTAATATTCCTACTTTAAAGTGTTCATAACTCTGGCTTGAACAGTCAGTACAGTATTCAAGAGTAAACCACCTCAAAAATAATGCATGTGCCCTGTTTGTCTAACAGTTGACTGCAATAAGAACAAGTAAAGTTTGTTTATCAATTGCGGGTAACTAAATTTTATAGTTCAAACTAAGCTCTAGACATTCAGCACTTAAACATTCATCATCATCATCATCATCAGCCTGCGGCAGTCCACTGCTGGACATAGGCCTCCCCCAAAGCTCGCCACTGAACCCGATCTTTGAATCGAAGATTTAAATATTCAAAACATAAAAAAAATTTAAAAATCAATATTTAACTTTCAGAAAAGGGTGTTGAAACATCTGAATCTTTGACTGACTTGTCTAGTGAACAGGTGCTCAAACTAATCAAGAGTCTTGTTAAATGTAATACTATTTTAATATTGATCTTTCAGTATTTTATTGGCAGTATATTAGATTTTTAGTTTTTAAGCATTATAAATTTGATTTAACCATTAGTTTTTTACACTCATCCAAGCCATTAAGTATATGTATCTTATTTTCTTGCAGTTGATTCAAGTATGATTCAAGTAACTGTTAGCAGATAATTATCTAAGTCACATAACAGAGGCTCAATTTGATGTGACTATTTATCAGAATATAGAATAGAAGCATTCTCATCTTGCTACTGTTACTACCACCCTTTGACCATGCTAGTCATATCTTTTTCCCATGCAACAGTTTCATTGACCCTGCCACCGTCCTGCCTATTTCTGCCATAAACCATTAAACATTTTGTCAGGAAATGTTTGAATATTATTATTCCAATATAACTACTTCCAAACTAACTCTTCACTAGTACAAGAATATAAAAAAGCAAACATAAATTATCATGTTCATATTTCTTATTCAACTAAATTTTATTTTTCAGAAAGAGGAGCTGAAAAATCAACACCTCTCACAAATTTATCAGCAAATGATGTTCTGTCGGCCATTAAGCAGTTAGTGAAGTGAATTTAAGTTAAATATTATGTAATTGTTCATTAATAAATGTTTTATTAGCGTTTAGAAAATATTTCAATAGCAACATGAAGATTGCAATTTTTCATTCCCACTCAATGTATTTATTCAATAAGTGTAACATCTGAATTTGTAAATGAAAACAAAAATATCATGACCTGATCTAGATTGAAGTGTAGGGCAACCACTGTACATCCTTTTGTTTCCAAGTAGAAAATAGTGTTGATATCATTTAGGGATTGTGAACTACAACCAATGATTATAATATTTTAGATAATGATTAAAGTAACATACATAGACACAAAGATTGATGAAAAGATTTTTATTATGCTTAAAATTTAAACTAAAACAAATCTGAAATGGCAAAATTAAACAATATTAAACATTGATGTACAATTATCATAAAACTATACATACAGCTGTCATTACAAAGATTTTTTATGAATTAGTCTTTATGATTGTAACACAAATACTCTGAAGTAACAACCCTTGGCATAACTAAAAAATTCTAGAAAAAGTATTAACTGGATTATGAGCATTCAAAATGCAACCGAATAATATAATTTCAATAATATAACATGAAAATAAACTAAAACACCTAATATTACTCATAAAATAACTTTAGTGTCATCTAATGATGTGTATCAAATTTATTGTATTTACACTATTTTTGTTAAATAGCCACAGATGTGCTAAGCTTGTGGCCATTTTGCTTTTTCTTTTCAGCAGCACATGACAATGTCATGTATTGTCGATATGTGGATTAATTTGATTTTGCCATTAATACTGAGTGTATGGAACCCAATTCCATATGTTCTAGTAATTAACTATATGAAAATGTTTAAAAAAATTGAAAAAGGACATTACTAACCTTGTTTGTAATGTAACACAATCTACAATTAATCAGTGTTTGGAATCAACACGCTTAGCGCAAATTGCAAAATGAGTAATATGTGAACTTAAACAAATTTATGGGTAGGTTGCACCCCTGGAATTGCTTATAAGGGTAATCAACATATGAGTTCAGGCAGTAATAATAATAATTGTGAACCTTCCCTACTCGTGAGAATGGTTCGTTTTCACCCTGTATTCCAAGAGCTAGCACTAAGTAACCTGCCTAAAGAGGAACCATGCAGTCTACCATATGAATACTATTCATATTTGTTCAGCAGAAAACTTGATTTACTTTACTTCGTAGACATAATTAAACACTGGTAACAACACACATTTAGACTGTTCAATAGCCATTTAACACTACTATTATATAATCACAATATTTAATCTTTCTAATTATTTAAAACAATTGTTCGTTCTACAATCTGCTCATTGGACATATTGCCTTTGACTAGTAAATCATCTAATCTAATATTAATAAGCTGGTAACCCAAACCACTCTGGTTGGAACTTTGCTAAAGTTGGTAACACTACTGTGGCGTGTTCAGTCAGTCTCTTGTCTGTGTGTGGGTCCGGTACCATAACTACTTGCATGCCAGCTTTTATTCCTGCTGTGACGCCATGCGGGGAATCTTCAAACACAAGACACTGAAATAACAAATAATCCATTTAACAAGATATAATAGTTACACAGGACCTTGAATATAGGATATTTGTTTTTTTCTTCAACAACAAATGTATTAATATATACATTATTGTAGTTAAATGTGAGGCTGCACACTTTATGTTAGATGTTTATTGGTGGCTCATAGACAACATATCAAAATTTAGATGCCGTCACACACTTTAAAACATTTGAGTTAAAAGTCTCGATTGTGTTGTATAGTTAATGGCTATTCCACCCTTCAAGACCAAACGCAGAAGCAGTTGTGTGCTTTGTGGCATTAAATCAGAATGATGATGCAGTACACTTGTATAATATGCCCTCCCATTAAATATGGACAAAGTCATGCAAATTAATTAATAGTGAGAAAGGTAGGTACCACCGCCTTGCCTATTTCAGCCACGAAGCAGTAATGCGTTTTGGTTCGAAGGGCGGGGCAACAGAAGTAACTATACTGAGACCTTAGAACTCAGATCTCAAGGTGGATGGCGCATTTACGTTGTGGATGTCTATGGGCTCCAGTAAACATCAGGTGGGCTGTGAACTCGTCCACCCATCTAAGCAATAACAAATAAATATATATATATATTTATGTATATTTTGCAGTATGTAGCGGCCTGGCATTGCTGAGGTCCATGTCCTACGGTAACCACTCACCATCAGGTGGGCCGTATGCTCGTTTGTCTACAAGGGCAAAAATAAAAATAAAATGAGTTCAAATTCAAACTCACCTTTGAAGGTTCAGGTTTGTCTGGGAATCTATTGGCTGCCACAAGGAATATATCAGGATGTGGTTTCCCAAATTTCACCTCCTTATCAGAACTTCCCATGACCATGTGGTGGAAAAGTTGGAAGAGCTCCTTATGTGCAGCAACTTTAGTCTTCACTGATCGTTCACTTGATGACGTGGCTAGCGCGAATGGTACTTTTGTTTTATGTAAATGCCTTATTAGTTTTTCTGCACCTGTGATAGATGATGAATCAAATATATTTTAAACAAGATACTTCAATTTTTTTTTTTTTTGTTTTTTATCGATGATTCCACATGGCAGATTTCATCAAATGGGTGCCTTTTAATAATTAGAGACCATCATGGCAAATTAATTTCCTTGGAGAAGTATGTTTTTATAACAACAGTATTTTTATGTTGGGTCTACAGAAACATATCAAGGAGTGAAAAGCAATATAAGTGACATTTTTGCAATTTTACTTTATAGTTTAAAATTTGGAAAAAATATAATAACAAAAAAACTTCTTCAGCTATTTGAATGGAGTCAACTTAATATTAATAATAATTAAACTTAATAATTTATTATTACATCGAACTTTTAATACCAAATAAAATGCACCTTTAATTACAAAGATAAATGTCGTATACTATGCCAAATGTTTCTTACACCAAGCAACAGCCTTTCACCCCTCGATATGTATATATACAATCAGAAATATTGATTGATGTCATAAGTGTAACAGAAAAAATCACCGAAATATAATTTATAGAGATTTTTTTAAACTGTTGACCCAGCCATTCACAAATACGATTGGTTAAGCAGTTATTAGTTCTGGAAAAGTTGCTTGAGCCTTTTTAATTTCTAATGACATGATCAGTAGAAAGGAATATGGGTTTTCCAATGCAATTCTAGCAGTGAACAATTGGAATGTTTCTTCTGGTGTGTTCCTTTGACATTCCACTTGTATTCCACGTTCCAGGGACACAGCCAAGCCGCTGCGTACCGCTGAGTATTCTCAATAAGCCTCATTTAAAGAAGGGCATAGCGCTTGACACACCGTGGAGAGGAGTTCATTCGAAAGCCAGAGGACACGTAGCAGAAAAGACCCCTGGAAACGCACTGCGGTTGAACGTGGTTTTAGATAGTATGGATGAATTTACAACACATAACAAAGAGAATCGAAGTCTCTGTAGACCCATAGATTCCAAACGATCCGTAAGAATGGAATTATCGACAATTCGAATGGCCTCCTTCTATGTGGAATCAAATCGAAGTAGCTGGTGTTTAGGAGCGCCGACCCAGAGGTGAGAGCAATAATACTCCATGCGAAGCCGAACTTATGCTTTGTAAAGCAAATGTCTGTAAAGTAACCTTAACTGGTATGTGAGCTGGGTTCAAACCTGACGACGGCTGAATCTATGGCGTCGGCTGCGACCCCTGAAGGGCACCTCAGAAGAAGGAACGAAAAATTTCAACCTCTGGAGCACCAGCTTATGAAGTTGGTCTGTACAGGATTAGCAGAGGAAAAGCATTTATACTGCGAAACTCTATGACACCTGGTCGTCGTTTGACAGCCAGGTCAAGAGAGTGATAGGGCAGCAAGGATAAGGTAGTGATTAGACAATTCTAAGTGGAGACCTCGGTGGTCGACTCGAAGAACGCTCATCTACTGTCCCAGATTTTGAGGTGCACCTGGGAGGTCAGTGGTTCTGGACCCCAACCACTCTTTGGTGATGAGCATTAAAATTTCCAAGGATCACCTCCACATATGGGCACTGCTCAAGCATGCAGTCAGTTCCCCCCTGCACATGCTCAAACCACTAAAAGAAGGCTATAAGGTATCATAGGTTAAAACTATAGAAGCGGGAAACACCAACCCCTATCTACCCAAAAAGCAATGAGTTCTGGGTGCCGACATAGCATGATTTTCATATTTAATATAAAATATATAAAAACTATACTATAATATACTAAATACATATTTAATCTAATATTTTATTTTATTTCTATCTATACACTTAATTTTTTACTGGTGGTAGGACGTCTTGTGAGTCTATACGGGTAGGTACCACTATTCTGCCTATTTCTGTTTTGAAGCAGTAATGTCTTTTGGTTTGAAGGGTGGAGCAGCTCTTGTACTGTAAAAACTGAGACCTTAGAACTTATATATCAAGGTAGGTGGTGGCATTTACGTTGTAGATGTCTAAGGGCTCCGGTAACTATTTAACACCAAGTGGACCGTCTACCCACCTAAACAATAAATAAAAAAATACTGTTTCATTCTTTAAAAGTTACAAGTAACTTTCCATGCATTTAAAACCATGGAAAAACAAAAAAATATTATTATATCTTAATTATTTCTTTAATACAATTAGGAAATGAACAAACCATCTAATAAGGGTGTACCAGCCAGCATCTTATCCCCTAAGACAAGTAATTGATCTCTAAATTCTGTAGGAGTCACTGGTAAGTTCAGTTCTATGCACAGGATTTCAGAGAGTCGTTGCTCTGTACCACCCAAGATTTTCATCATGAGCTCATCGGTGTATGTGTGGCCATATTGCGCACAAAGTTGCGTTATCATTTTTTTGTAAACTTGCTCGGTGTCTGGAAATTGAAAATGTTTTAATGGTTATTTTATCTTGCTTTCACAACTTTAAGCTACATCTAATTCAAAATTAAATTCATATTATATAAACAATTAGGACTATATATAAAAAAAAATAAAAAAAATGTTATTTTGTTAGTTAAAAATGCTTATTATTTCAATGTCTTCATTTGAGATGTTATTAGTTTATATACTCTTTTAAACTAGTTTTATTCTTTGGTATGATATGGTTTATTTCAATGTATGTAATAACATGGTGATAAAAATAATAAAATTATACATACCTAATAACAAACCGTCCATATCAAATATACAGTGGGTGACGGTCTTAAAATTATTCGTCGAGTAGCATCGCGCGCCAACAGCTTTAGGAACCGTTCTTACTATTCTTAATAAATTAAACCTCATGATTGAACCGGTTACGTAAATACAACAACTAAATAATTAATAATTAACTAAAATCAAACAGTATCTCATTAGGTAAATATTAGTTTCTTAGATGGACTCAATAATCCTTTCGAAAACTTTTCGTAGTGTGAATTAATTAATTAAAATAAACGGAATAATAAATTCAGACTGAACTTTGTCTGCATCTGCAATCCTATTCTTTACCTACTTTAAGTTAGTTTTACCATTCTGCACTTTACAGTAGGAATCTGTAACAGTTACACTACTCTGTGGAAAGGAAATAAAATAAGTGATGCGAACAGCAAATGATATAAGTATAGAAAAATATATTTAGAAATCAACTTTTAATTTTCATATTAATTAATTTTCAACTTGTGAATTGAAATTGTAATTTAATTCGTATTTTAGTAACATTGCAAAACTACAAGCTGGCAATGCTCGAAGCTCGCTTTCGGCTGACTTCAGTCGTACAGTACAATACAGTCGGGCTGCGACCATCATGGATCGCAGTTGAACGGTCGCGGGTTGCGTGTGGCATCTCTTGTATCGTAAAATAATTTCAAGATATTAGTTTTTAATAATTTAATTAATGGACTTAGGGTTAAATTTGTGTTTCTAATAATTAAATTATATTCTTGAAAATCACTAAAATGGATGTGAGAGAGTGTTGTCGTATCGAACTGTCGCTTAACAAAAAATCGATTTTCGGATTCAATATGAAGAGTCTTATACTATTTCTTTTGACTGTGTGTTTTTTGGCGGGAGCCAATGCTGCCGATACGGAAATTTCGTGTACAAATGTGAAAAATATGTTTGAAAAGAAAGGGATGTCCGCGATGGTAGATATTCAACCGCAGCCAAACTCAGGTGAGAATCACGCGCCGCTCTACAGCTGAATGTGATAATGATAATGATAGTACATGATATGGTTGTTGTTAACATGCTTTCGCAAACGAAACACATGTTACAGATATTCTATTTTAAAGCACATTAACGGTAAAGCAGCGTAATGTGTAGCTCAGTGTGGTTTATTTTAATCACTTCAAAAGAAAATTTATTCTCTGAAGAAAAATGCTTTATCGCTAAAACGAGAACAGTAGTTTTGTTAAATCGCCAGACTCGTGTTTGTTTGTATGTTGGTGTTGTACCTACCTTCTAACAGCAAGTAAAACTTTGATAATAATGTAATAAAGCTTTTTTTTTAATTTAAAGTATGATTCTTTGATCAGAACTATATGTAAATATTGTTTGTTCGAAATCGTTTATTAAATCGCTTTGTATAAAATCCAAACTATTTAATTTTAAAATTTAATCAGTCAAGTTCCTAAAGTAAAAATTTGTTAAAAAGATGCATTGTCTTGAAACGAATGCAACGTAGAACAATCGGACCGTTAATGGCACGCTGTCCTTTTTTACCTGAGACATAAAAATAGAGATGCCCATGCATTGTATAAAATATTCTGGAATCTTGACAAAAAAAAAGGAAACGCAGTTACTCTTTTAATAAATAGTACGTACTTATATATATTTTTTATTGCGTTACTTGTGGGACCTAATTTTTGACTTGCTATACTCAAAATTCTGACATTTTTGTAAATATCAACGAACAAAATGGTAGAATTTCGTTGTCAATGTTTCTTTGAATATTGGCATGAACAGTATAAAATCATCACAGTCATAATGTACTGACTGCCCTGATTAAATGAACCCCAGTCTTTGGAAGCACGACTATGTATCCAGGAAGGTAAACCATAGGTATTGATCACCATTAGTTGGCTATTGGCACGTCTCTGAATATAATTATTTTCCAGTAAAACCATTTTTGTTTTCACCGCCACCTTGATGTGACGACTATTTTCAATTACGATTAAAAACTTTCAGAAAGCAATCAACGTTATGGTCGAAAAAAATACAAAGTTCTCAGATCTAGAGTCACGTGGGTGTAGTTGTCTTAGTGGGCGGTAACATGAAAAGCTCATATTGCAACATACTTGTTCGTCTAATAAAGTTGTATTCTGCGAAATAATTTAAGTATGGTTGACCAAATGGTCAAGCAAATGCAATGGTGAAACAAATTCTTCAAACACAAATCTTAGATCTACGTAATATTCGTGGTGTACGATCGTTAGCTTGCATTATGAGGAACACCTGTAAATTACAGAATTACTGATTTGAGACTGAACTTGACTTGCACATCTGAGATCTCTCTACATAATGTCTTTGAATCGGCAGTTTCTTTACTTTTGCCAATTTAATGAGTAACCGTTGAAGTTAGCTTGCACAACTACTAATGTAAGGTTACGTATTATTATATTATTAATCTTACGTATTACAAATGTTTTCTATATCTGTACTTAATTATCTTTATGAGACCTATCATCATATCTTCTAGGCGCTCTCTTTACTGACGAAATCTCGACCGTTTCGAAAAAGCCAATGTTATCATTTTCTTTTAACCCAGGATCTCGCGTTTATATTATAACACAAAATAGGTGATGATTTCACATCTTTGGTTGCCAATTCAGACTATTTATTCAAAATGAAGAAATTGTGTATGAAATTTGCACGAACTCAAGATTTGGCAGTAATTTTATTACAAAATAGTCCTACTAATGTCGTTGACACTGAGGGTTTTGTCGTGATGCCAAATCATTCGTACTTTTTCTCCAATTCGTTTCATTGTTAATACGAATGTTCTTAATTGGCATCTAGGCGTAGCAAGTATAAGTTACTCCACTAATAAATAAACTTAAGATTACTTGCTGAAATTTCCTGTATCGTTTCCATATTATTAGCAAAAGTTTGTTCTATGGACGAAGTCTCATATTTGTAAACACATTTGTTAGCCACAACCAACCCAAAAATATAGCATAGTGTTTCATAATCCATTAATGCTAATTAGACAATATGGTAGTGTTAAATGTTTCGAGATTAGATCTTAATAGCAGATATGAATTATAATTTTAAATTCCTTTTTTTACCAACGTTTAGACATGTATTTTACTAAACTTGCTTTTCGTCTTAATTTTATTGCACTTCTTCGTTACAGGATGTATGCCATTCATTTATCATACTGTGTTATACATATTTTGCTACTTTTGCGCTCTCATGAAGAATCAGTGATTAAGCTTTCAACCATGGCATATTCCTTTACGTCCTACTATTGATTGTTTTCAGAAAATCCTTTACAATTACATTCATAAACACTCATTTGTAAAATTAGTGCGAACGCATTCAAAGTAGCGTTTAAGCATAATAATCTAGAATAAGATAACACAAATATATTGGAAGAAAACTAAAGTGACTGTCTATTTTTCGGGCGATACTGGGTGAGTCACAAGGCAGAATCAATTAAATTAGGTACTTAAGTATTTAGATGCCTGTGATTAGTGGAATTATTGTTTGTTTATTTTCGGTTTGTTTGTTATTAATGTAAAGTTTTAATGGTTGACGAGCGATTGCACCAACGATGAACTTGTAAAGAGTTCACTATATAGAGAATATAAGCCTAAGGAGAGCATTATTTCAAGTGCCGTCATCAAACCATCTGAATTTCCATAGTGATATAAATTATGTAATTAATTTCCATATGTTAAGGACCGATAATTGTGACAAACCTTGGGAGAGGTCTATGGCCATCCATCCACAGCTGTAGACGCTGATAATATTCGAATGGTTACTTACATGACAATCGAATAAAAGCTACAAGGAGAAACCAATGAACGATTTAATTTTAAATTGTAAATATAATTTTAATCGTAATAGAAAATATTGCCATGATGCCTATCTTATTTATTCGACATTCTTCTACAGTTTACCCGTCGTAGTTTGAACAAGTTGCATTAGCCGTAGTCACGAGTGGCTGAGAAATCGAAGTTTCTGAAGTATTCTGCATGCGGAATAGTTTACAAGTTATTTAGCATGCAATAGTCGAATGTTGCGGCTTCTAACGGCATTCGTCGCGCCAAGTCTGTACCGGTATTCAGAAATCACCAGTACTCGTATGCATTTCAAACCAGATTTTAATATTGAGTAGCCTTTATATTCAAATGTGGAGTATACGTAATAATTTTTGAAGGATCTGTAATGATGAACATGAACACGAATAATGTGCTTCACCACCGTATTTAATTACATACAATAATAAGATTACATCGTTTAGCAATTCTATTTACCTTTCATAATATGTTTTCGTTGGAATACGATTTATTACATTGTTATTACAAGGAGACATACATTTCTCGCGGTTACTCCGTTTTAGATAGATTGTCGAAGACTACCCTCGATGTCACATCAAAATATTTCAGTCAGAAATATCATTCCGAACGAAATCACTAATAGTTTCGGCTTTTTTCAATATTGCGTAATTAGAGGTATGCTTTAATTAATTCATAGTTAATTCATAGTAAACGCTCTCGCGGCCGATCACCCACAAGGTGGACAGACTTGGTTAAGTTTTCTACGAAGTGTTCCCTTACTGAGTGTACACGTACCGCCACAAATAGAGAGAGATGGAGAAGCCTCTCAAAAGCCGCAACCAAATATTAAGACTTAGGTAACCACGACCACTCCGCCAGGAGTGAACGACTGAGAAAGAAAGAAAACTGTGTGCTAGTTATTAGAAGAAGTCACGAGGTAGCCAGTTCGGGCCAAAGAAAATCTTTCAAACGTAAAACGTAAAGGTCAACATCCTCTAGTTTCTTAACAAAACTGACCAATAGAAATACCAAGTCGGGATGGACTTCGTTATCTTGAAAATATCCTGTTTGGTTATGTACTTTCTAAACTAACCTATCTATCATAGCTGTCATTGAATATTTATTGATAACGACTACTAGACGCGGGAATGTGGCAACTGAAGTGAGGACACGACTACGGATAGTTTGACGCTTATAATTTCTAAGCCGAATATATATTTTTAGTCTGTACCTATAGCTGGACGGCAGAGACATATGGACAAGCTCATGTTCTATATATTGAGCTACTGCTGGAATTTTCAGCTATTGTTTATGATTTCTATACTTGCATAAAAATTTAATATGTTTTTCCAACCCAACCATGACGTCTAATTCATTTGTTGCAAGAATATGTAGATAGCATCTCTTAAAGAATTTCAAGATCATGATGATAATGATTTCTAAAACTCCCGAAGAACTCTTCCGCCGGTAACGAATATTTGGTATGACAGAATGTTGTGGGTGGACTGGTTGACAGCGGAACGTATGTTGAGTAAACACGAGGAAGGTCGACAACCCTACGCCGAGCAGACCTTATTGATTGAAGTACGAGACCTACTATTAATTTATCAGTACACGGTTTTTGATCTTTTTGAATGATTAATGTACTTGCATAGCAAGTACTTAAAATGCGACTTTAAATTGAAAAAAAAACATGTTTTTATTTGACTTTATAATAGATAAAAAAATTACTAATGGTAAGGTGTCAGGGTAATTAAAACTTAGATCTCATGTCTCAAGACGTGAATTGTTTGGAAGCTTTGGCAAGAACTTACCACACCATCGGATCTCCCACACATAGATCTATTTCATTAAATAAAAAAAGCATTCCTGAGTTTAACTATAAGATAAGGCCAATTTGAATGTAAATTAATAGAAAATAATGTTCATGTTTGCCTTCGTTTACTACTGGTGCCTTAACGAACACTTACACAATATTTTTTTGCCGTAACGTTCAAATTGTGATCCCACTCTTAAAATTGGGACTAAAAAGTTATAGGCAGTATTGATATCTTTGAAGAACACGTCAGAATTGGATTCTATGTTTACGATTACACAGACCGAATTGCCGTACACTCGGTTCTAGTACCATGCTTGGATCGAAGAATTAAAAATCAATATATGATTGAA